CATTTGGCCTGTCTAGGAATGAGCTCTTAATCATTCAGTATGATCATTCTTAATCGTCAGCTGATTAAATGACAAATACTCAGTCTCCTTAAGCAACAGTGCTAAATGAATGATTGGAGACTCTGCAAGTAGCTGGTGTTAATACATAACCATTTTTTCACTTGAGCTCTTGTCTTTTTATGAGAAACATGAGTACGAAAACTATTCTCAGTCCATGTGTTCTCCTTCACTAATGTTTTGTTAAACCAGCAGGTTAAGGATTTCTTAGTAGGTTTCTGTCTACAAAGACTGCCTATGGGATATAGGGCCTGTTAGAATGACAAAAGACATAATTGCAAGAGGAGAGCAAATCCTCTCTACATGCAAGAGGGCTGGTAAATAGATTCATTTTCTGTGAATGGCAAGGAGGAAAAAAAAATCATATTTAGTGCAATTACACCTCTGAACTTGGTGGTATCTCAGAATCGCTGTCCTTGGAAGTGATACTACTTAGGCAAATGAAGGCTTCCCTGTGGAGGTATGCGGAACTGTTTGTAAATGAATACAAGGTCAGGAAGGTGTAATAATAACCAATGAAATAATTTGTTTATCCAGATCATGATAATCCATCAAGGGAACAATATTTGCACTACGTTTTAGGACAATCCTGACATAAGGAGCCATCTCCAACGTGAGTTCGGTTTTTGTTCTTTCTACTGAGAACAGTAATGGGGTGGCTGACTAATGCCAGCTGTGGAAGAAAGTGCCAGCTACGGGTGCCGTTTTGTGGGTGAGGTGGACATATGCACTATGAAAAGTACATAGCAATAACTGAATATATTGCTCACAGGCCCTCTGGTAATAATTTTGATATTATCACTGTGGGATGGCTTTGAATTGGGAACCTATTTATAAGGGGATCTTATACTAAGCTTATGTGCAACTAGAATAGGTACTCTAAGCATTTTTTTTAAGCAACCCAAAATCAGCTGACCCAGAAAATTCGATGGCCTGTGCTCAGCAATATAAGGAGTTTTATTTAATTTTAGCTGACACGTTTTGTTGTGGATCAGTCTGTAGGTCTTCTAATGGGCGTAATACAGCTTGACATAAAATCATTCCCATGTATACACCAGATATTACCAAAATGTGAGTGTGGCTCTATGGCTTCTTTCATGCAATTTTACAGGTGAGAAGCTGAGTGAACAAACGTTTTAAGAAATGTTTATATTTTGCTTGTTTTATATAAAACTTCTCAGCTTGTACCACAAGTTATACATGCGATTTGTGTAAAAAGTTGCATGCACATTTCTAATGCAAAAATGTGCATTTTGTTATTCAGACCAAAAGTATGGGGCTGGTATCAGACATTAATCAGGCTGGTGTTTCTAATTCTTGTACTTTTCTAAAGAACAGTGGAATGTGGTAGAAATTACACAAAGCCAAGTTATAGAGCTTCTTGCTTTGTTTTTAGTCTCCACAGGCAAAGCTGTCATTGTAGGCACTGAACAAGAATTTTTTGTATGGCTCACACACCTGTGCTTACAGAGGAGATATGTATAATTAGAGTCATTGTTTATGGAGCTCTACAAAAGATATATAAGCAGCTATGCAGAACATGCATAAAATAACTGTCAAATTAAATACTGCATTTAGATTTGTGTGTCTGCTAAATAAATACTAATTGGGTTTTCCAGAAACTAGATAGTATTTGTAAGTTATTTAGCAGACAATAAAGCACATGTGTTACTACTTTTTAAGCTGTATCATTTCATCTGAGTATTGGCAAGCTTAATTTCCAGCATAATTGAGTGCGTTAGAAAGTTATTAATAGCTAGAGTCTGTAAGAGATTTGTTTTCCCTGTATGTGACCATGCTTAAGACGGAACAGCTTGGGTGCTCCTACAGTGAGTCTCAGGCACTTTCTAAAACTCTGTAGCAGAGATAAACTGCCAGAAAGACTTGTAACTACTACTAGACACAGCGTTCAGCTTTACAGTCATTAAGCACCAGTCCCTTTTTAGCATTAGAACAGACGGTTTTTGTTATTTAGTATCTGAAATTATATTAGGATACCCAGAGAGGAGTTTTCTGCCTCAACATGAAACAACCGTTGGAGCTTTCTTTTCTGAGTACCCTTGTTTGAATGCAATTAAAAAAAAAAAAAAGTTAAAGTCTGAAAGATGGTCTTAAGTGACATAAGAAAGCCAGGGAAGAACCTAGGGAAAATAGGGAAGCTGTCCCACAGGATGGAACTAGGACAGACAGCCTCATATTCCTAATTCAATGCATTGTATACCTGTTTTTTTGAGTAGTTTTTGTTATGTGAACTGGTATTTCTTAGAGCAAAGCCTTTCAAACATCTATAAAGGGAGGATCTAAATTTGAAAGGATGTCTTGTGCGTATATTATGATGACATAACAATTTTCATTGTATCACCGAATATCTCAGCTGTAAAAGTTGTAAGAAAATTGTCCTGTAATTCAACAGTAGAAAGAAGACAGAAGGGGGACACCTATTTTGCAGGGAATTAGCACAGCACTTGGGTGTTGCAGAGTAGCTGGCAGGATGGGTGCCTGCCTCTGCTGTTGTGTAACAGTGTTGGAGCTGATCCCCAAACTGGTACGTGTCCCTGGTTCACACAGGAGTGCCTCTTTTAGCTCAAATAGCCAGAAGATAGGAATGTGTAAGCTGGATGAAGTGACATATTTGTATCTAGATAAGTTTTTTTTCTCCCTCAGATGCAATTGTGAAATTTTGTGGGGCTATAATGGACTATGAAATATTGAGAGACCTTGGAATTATTGGAATACTCTAAATACCAGATAATGGTTTCCACACCTCAAAGCCTTCTCTTTTACATCATTTCATCATGTTAGGGAGCACTCAGAAAGCAATGTGATTTTTTCTTCCCTCCAATTGCAAATCATATAATGCTTTATTTTAAACAAGCAGAATTAGCATATAGAAGGCAACCACAAGCTTATTAATTACGTATTTAGTCTCATATTCACATATTTTCCAAGAACTCCCTCATGTTCCCTCTGCCTGTTTAACTAATTACTAGAAGATTATTATCCTCTATATCTATCCTGTAAGTGGTTAAACTGTAGAACAGTAAGCTAAAACATAAAATTTGTTGTAATGCTTACAGATTAACAGCATCAAACTAAATTTACTGGATAAACAATGCAAAAATATCCTCTTACATTTTCTGCATCTACAGCACTTTTATACACTATTTGAACAAAGACAATGTCCAAGAACATTCAACGAAAAATAGAGGGCATATTCTCCTCTTAACTCTCATACAGAATAAGAAGAGATTTTTTGCAAAGGTGATTTTTTTTTTTTGATAATGTTTTCAAGTAGCATGACTTTGACTTGGAACACACTAGCATTTGATAGCTTAACGTTTGAAGGAAAAAAATATATATACTTTTTTCCAGAAACAGATAATGATGATGTCCCATGTGAAAATCCTGCTCTGTCATCAGTTCAGTAGTATGTGACACTGACTGCACCCATTTTTCCCCCACATTCAATCATTTGGAAAAAAGTTTTCCCACTGTGTTAGATTTTTTTATCATACAGAAAATGTGCAAGCTTGCTGGTTGCCTAATATCAATTCAGGTTAATGGGTAGTTTAGTTTTCTGCTGAGAGTCTTAAATAAGATTTCTCATTTAACTTGCTCAATAATGGCTTTCAAGCCAATTTTGTATACTTTATAGTGTCCTCAGGTTACAGGCTGCCACGGTCTATGTAGCGGCATCATCTACAAAGCTGCTGCTATTACTATATGTTACTTTTTGCTACTGAAGATTTTGTGATACATGATGTAATTTCACATACCCACCTGCAAGCGCATGCATAGAAATCAAACCCAGACCTAATAGGATGCTAGGGTTGTTTTTCAGACTTCTTTTACCAGAATAGGGGGGAATTTGCAGCAGAGTTTTTAGGCTTTCTTTGGCAAGGCAAGTAATCTTTTCTAATGCTTCAATGGCTTGACAGTACTAGAATTTCTCATAAACGTCAGTACTTTTCGCTACTCAAATGTCTTTCTTTGACTAGATGAGAGGCTGTTTTACAGGATTTATTTCATACAAGTGTTATACGTTTATTCTGCTTGCGACGCGTTGCAACTATGCTGTTGCAAGTCTGATTGACCTGGGGAGGGATCCGAAAAAGCTGGGTCCAAGTTTTAAGCTATAGTTACCTAAAACGGGAACTAGTCAATGGCGTAGATGCCGTAAGGTCAATTTAGACTCTAGTACTGCGGGTATAAGCCTGAGAAACGGTCCGGGCCCCAGGGTCTGGTGGTTCTGAGACACGAACCACCTGAGACAGAGGTTTTGTCAGAAGGAGCACCCGTAGGTCCGCCGGGGTGGGCGGGCAGGGGAAAGGGGGAGCGCGCATCGCTGCCGACCCTCCTGCCGCGTCCTGTAGCCTTAGCGCCAGTCCCGTGACGGCCGGTGGCTGTCTGAGAGCCCCAGCCACCACCACCTTTGGAGGAATCCCAATGTCAAATAAAAGAGGAAGGTTTTTTTGGTGTTTTTTTTTTTTGTTTTTAGCCTGCATGAGTTCAGAGAAAGCTGTAGAAATAAAAACTTGAATAAGCCCTAACACCTGAAAAAGCCGTGCGGGCCCAGGCACAGAAAAATCCCATTTTAGACAATCTCGTGGTTTCGCAGTCACCTGAGCGACCAGGGGAAGGGGGGCTTTTATTCACGTTTTCTGGGTCCCAGGATTTCGTCAGCAGGCCGCTCCAGCGGGACCGAGCCCTGTCGGAAATAACGCGCCGCTACCCAACCTACGGCGGGCCAGGACGCCGCGTCTGAGGCAAAAACAGCCGGAGATCTTTGAGGTGCTGCTGCAGGAACCTCGCCTCACAACTCAGATTTTGTTTCACCCCAAACGCGCCCGACGCGAGAGATATATATATATATATATACACACATATATATACACATATATCTTAAAGCTAGACAGCGGTGTGAATCCCGCGCCGCCCCTTACCGATGATGATGGCACAGGCGCTGACGAGCCCGATCTCCTTCTTCAGCGCCACCCGCGCGGGGCCGCCGGGCGCGACGCGCTGCTCGCCGTCCCC